TTGAGTTTATATGCAAACCTCAATACTCAATGCTATTTGTATGCTCTATGCAAACGCTATGTGTGGTGTCCAGTACTCTAACCCCTTTTACACCTCCTAAACCTGAGTATCAGCCCAAACAAAAAAACACGTATAATTTTTTTTGCCGCATACAATTAGAAAATATAAATGGTGTCTAAATTCAGTTATCTCAGCACATGCCCATCCATTGTAAGTAATGATTTATTAATAATAAAATTAATACGACCCTGAACCTAGTGCTACAAAATTTAGTTTTAGGAAATATCAATATGTTTACTTGATTGTTAAGTTAACTGTTTTATTATTATAGACAATCTTTAAGTGCCGACAATGAAATCCGTATAAATTGATTAATTTATCATTAATTTTTATAAGGATTATTATTATTATAGTATAAGTTTGTATATAGTATATTATCATCAATTTCTACTTAAATAATAGTTCAGTTTATCTATAAATTAACTGCTAATCATCAAAATAACTAGGATATGTGTTTTAAAAACTAATCGGGATTATTTTAGAAAACAATGAAGATTATATTAATACAGAATATTACAATCTAATATCCGGGTATCAAAACCAAGTCAAAATATATAAATACACAAACCTTAATAAAAATCATTCAAAAGTTTGTAAACAATCCTTATTTACTATAATATTTAACCCACACTTAATTCATAATGAAGTTTGCATTATTATTCGCTGTTACACTAATTGCGCTGGGTAAGTTTTACTCATTATAATAATGAGCCTAATTGAATCATGTACAATGTGTACAACCAATATCATCGCGAAATTTAAACAACTAATACATAACAACTTGCAATACAGTATCGGCAGTGCCGGCGCCCGACGACCCGCTGGAGGTATACAAACAACAACTGGTGGCCAGAGTTGACGCTCAGGAGAAACTGACCGAAAAGGATATCAAACACTTCGACACAACGAAACTGAAAGACTCGCCGCAACAGAAAGAGCTGAAGAACTCAATGGTCGAGTTGGAGGGCTTCCGACCCGATATCAAGAAGGGTGCGTCGGTCGAGCAGTTGGAACCTGTTGAACGTAACCTAGGCTATTTGGAGAGCTGGGAACCATACTATGTCGAGGAGATGGAAAAGTTGTTACATCAATAAGTCTATGTGATATACTCTAATTTAATTGATGACTATGGTCGACAAAATTAGATGATAAATTTTAAATGTTAATACTTAAATTATTTTGCTTATGTATAAAAATTAATAAATCTATTATTAATTACTGATCTAATTATAATTAATGGTGTTATATTATAAATATAACTATCAGAAATTAAGTTGAAATTAAAAATTCCATTACATTGTTAATAAAAATTATAATATAAAAGTTTATAAAAATAACATTTTTGTGAAAGTATTACAAAAATAAATCCCAATTTTAACATTTTAAACGCTATTTGAGTTGCATCTATACTATTACGAAATACTTGGATTAATTGCTTATGAATGAAATTCATTGGAAACTCAATACAAGCATTATATTTGGGAAATACTTATTATTCATAAATCAATCAAACTTTTTATATCACACATTAATTACTCTAATATTTTGTTACAGTTCTTTAATATAAAAAATAATTTAAGTATTAACATTTAAAATTTATCATCTAATTTTGTCGACCATAGTCATCAATTAAATTAGAGTATATCACATA